GTGGTCGGTGGGCTCCCACAGGGGAGCGCCACTCAGCTGGCTGACGGGCTCCAGACGCCTGGCTCACGGCTGGCCAGCGCAGCTTTGGTGGGGGAAGCCTCCCCCACCTCTGGCAGTGCTACTGAGCGGAGGAGGCAGCAGGCGCAACGGGGCGGGATGAGCAGGAATGGTGTGGTGCCCGCCTGGGCTTGGGCTCCTCCCCAGCCGCCTGCCACTTCGCCCACTACTACATCCCTCAGGGGATGCCCGACTGTCAGTTTCAGGCCAGCCTGCAGGGATCGGGCCAAAACCGGCAGTCTGACATCCCCCGAGGGGTCCCGGATTGAGAGAGGGCACAGGCTAGGCTGAGGGACCCCATCGGTGCACGAATCCGTGCACAGGCCTCTAGTTTAAAGAGTAACCCTTTTTCGGTAGGGCTCCCCTCCTATTGAAGGGGAAAGAATTGATGCCTTTTCACTTAGGTTAAAAAAAAAAAAGCTCCGGTATCAATAACTTGCTCAAGGTCACAGAGCTGTGGTTTGTCCTATCCAAACCCACGTTCTTTCCACATACAATTCTGCCTCTTTGTCTCCACAAGCATTGACTCTGGCTGCTGTCCTGGCATGTGGGCATGAAAGAGGCCTGTGTGGCATCGGCCAGGGTCACCTGAATAAACATTTTCCAGTTTTCCTTAAATATGGGCATGGTGCTGGTTTGGTGGTAGGTTAGCGCCTCTGGATTCATCATTGTTCGCACCTGTGGCCTCATTGGGGCAACTGTAGAATGTCTACATATCCTACAGGCACTGTGACATTTGTGGAGCATCAGGGTGGACTTCTCTGTGACAGACTTTTTTGCATCAATACTGCAAAAAGGACGGGTCTTGGTAAACATTTGTTGAGAGCTAACTGCTGCATGGCGCTGTGCGAGGCATAGAAAAGAGGCGCACGGCTTCTGTGCCGTGTGTGCCTGCTTTGCGTCCTTCAGTTTTGCAGGTCACATCACCGAGAGACTTGGTCCTCACAGTGTCGGTAATGCAAGTACTTTGGGAACACTACAAGGTCACCTTTGAAGTACGGCACTTAGGGAATATGCCAGCTGTAAAATTACATTGTATGCTTTATTTCTGAAAGTACTCTGAGCTTTGCCAATTCAAAGCCTCCATAAACAGAATTGAGGAGAGAAAAGTCTTATGTAGGGAATTTTCATATCTTGAGAGAAACGGAATCTATCAAAGGGAGTTCTCTTTCTTAAAAGCCTTTTGGTAAATTCGGTGCTTTTAATTGGCAAATAAATTACCTTTGACATTTAATGGGGAGTTGGTTTGTTTTAGGTGTAAAATGGAACTGAGAAGAACTGATTCCCTACAGTGGTTCTCAACCTTCCTAATGCCGCGACCCTTTAATACAGTTCCTCATGTTGTGGTGACCCCAACCATAAAATTATTTTCGTTGCTACTTCATAACTGTAATTTTGCTACTGTTATGAATCGTAATGTAAATATTTGATATGCTATATGTGTTTTCCGATGGTCGCGACCCACAGGTTGAGAACCGCTGCCAAGTTCTGGTTCCTGATTCTACAGAGAATGTTTGTTCTTAATTGGGAATAAAACTAGAAACCAGCAGGTTGGGGGAAAGGGAGTGTATGTTTAACATAAAATCAATATTTAGACTTCTTGGGGACTTTTTCATGAAGCTATTTATTGCTTGATTTTTCAGGTTATTTACATCTGCTGAAGAAACGTTTTCGCACTGTAAGTCTGAGCATCAATTTAATATCGATACCATGGTCCATAAACATGGTGAGTATTTTTTAGAATAAGGAAAATTTTAGTTTTGAAATTTAAGTTCAAACTTTGTTTTTCCAGACCTTTCCTTTTCTAAACAATAGTGAAATATATAGCAACAACCTATCTTTTTTTGGCAGTGGCCTTAGGGGAAAGATTAAATATAAGTGATTCTTCTAGATAGGATTTCACTGTAAGCTTATATTGACTTCACAACTCAAAAGGAAGTCAATATAATGATTGCATTTTTATCATATTAGAATTAAGGAGAGCAAGAGAATATATTAGAATTAATGAGAGCAAGCATAGAGGTGGACTTGGGAAAGGAGGTGGAACATTATGAAAAAAGACAACTTATGTGAAAAAGCATGTGAAATTCAAGGCATACAAGGTCGAGTTTTACAAGGAGTTTGGTAAGAGATTATAGAAAAAGGATTGATGAAATTAAGGTGGTAAGTAAAATATTTAGATGATTCTTTTGAGACTTGCATTTAATCATACCTATTTTACTAATAAAGCTTTCCACTTCTTTATATGGATATAGAAGACCTGCACTGTTCCACTAAAATTAAATACAGAATTATTTTTTTAGTCCCTGTATTTACTAACAGCTGCAAAGGGCATTAAATAAATGTGACATAATATATTTATAAATTTAAATGCAACTACTTTTGAAAGGCATGGATAACTTAGTCTCATTGGATTTTTTTCATGTTTTTAACATGCATTTTTAAATTATGACTTGGAATCATACTGTAAATATAACTTTGTACTAGAGGCCCAGTACATGAATTCGTGCACGGGTGGGGTCCCTCGGGGTGGCCTTCGGGGATCGGGCCCCAGCTTGTGCCCCCATCCTTGCAGCCCCGTAACCCAGCCTGGCATCCTGCCGTGGCCTGGTGCCGCACCCTCACCTGCTCCACCATCCCACCTACGGGATGATCGATCTGGGCCAGGCCCCTGCCTGGCTCCCTCAGCACCTGGGAGCCGGTGGCAGCCCTGCCCCCCGCCGCTGGTTGCCATCTGTGGGGTGATCGGCGGGGCGATCAGGCACCTGCTCGCACCCACCTTGGCCTGGCGCCACCTGCTCACCTGCTCCACCATCCCGCTGCAATCCCATTCTCGTCGGGGCCCATTAGGGTCAGCAGCACCTCCATTGCTACCTGCTGCCAGCACCATGTCACTGACGCCCGCCATGTTCTGCACCATCCCCTGGTGGTCAGTGTACATCATAGCAAGCAGTCGAACTCCCAGTCGAATAATTTGCATATTAGGCTTTTATTATATAGGATTTTTTTCTTACCACATAGGGGTTTTTATTTGCTACTAGAGGCCCAGTGCATGAAATTCTTGTAAGGGTAGGCCCTCGCAGCCCCGGCTGCCTCGGCACTTGCAGCCGCCCTGGCTGCTGCCTTGGCTCTCCCAGCCCCAGCTTCGTTCAGAAGGTTGTCTGGACGGTCGTTCCGCTGTTCAGCCATTTGGTCAATTTGTATATTATGTTTTTATTATTATAGATTATGCACATAAAAACATTTTGTACGCCATTATGTTCCTTATACAACATTTTCCAGGAGAGATCTGTTAGATATGCTATTGACTGGAAATCAAACCTGAGACCCTTCAGTGCTCGGGCTGATGCTCTAACCACTGAGCACACCAGCCAAGGCTGTTTTCCCCTGTTTTAAATGCTGTTTCATTTCTGGAAATATATGAGAACCAGATAACAAGCCTCATTGTTTTTCAATATGCATCATTTAACTTAATGTTAAAGCTAATATACTTTGTATACTCCAGATTCTGGCTAAATTATAATTTGGTAGGCACTGTAAAAACTGGGATGTAGGAACTTTCAGTTCTAATATCAACTGCCCTATATTTGGCAAAGTCTGTGACCTAAGTTTCCTGATTTGTAATGCTCTTAGAAATGAGAAGAGTTCTAAAAATTAATTTTCCATATTTTAGAAATGCAAGAAAAATATTAATTGTCATCTATGCTAGCTGTTTCTCAATTACAATATTCAGAAGTATCAAAATACTATTTCTAGTTCTTAATAAGAAATTAAAAATATTATAAGTTTTAGTTTAGAGCAGCAGTTGCCAACCGGTGGTCCATGAGGTCCGAAAGGTTGGCGACCGCTGATTTAGAGGACAGAAATGTTTTATTGTCTAACCAGAGAAGCCTCTATAAAACAGGTCAATTAAACAAAACTCATGTTAAAATAGGTAAATTATCTTTTTTCCCCCTTTAGGACTTGAATTCTATGGATACATTAAACTAATAAATTTTATTAGGCTTAAGGTAAGTTGGTGCTTAATTTACAATTTTGTTTTGAAACTAAAGAAATACTGCTACCAGTGGTGACTAAAAGAATATGAAAAACTACTTTACAAGAAACTGTTTTAAATTTGTCAGTCATCATATTGGAATCATGGATATTAGGAAATGCCACAATATACAGGACCAAGTAAATCAGGGGTTGGGGAACCTTTTTTCTGCCAGGGGCTATTTGGATATTTATAACATTCGTGGGCCAAAATTATCAACCTAAAAATTAGCCTGCTATATTTGGTCAAACATTTAATTAACTCACCCCTAATACCTTGGCAGGGCCAGACCAAATGATTTCATGAGCCTTAGAGGCCAGAGGGTGAAATGTTCCCCACCCCTGAAGTAAATGGATGCACACCATGCTTAATAAGTGTCATTTTTAACTGCATCTAAGAGACGAATCATCAGTGTTATATAAAAAAGTAATTCAGAGTCAGATAAAGGGAAATACTGAAAGTTTCTGAAAATCAGAAATAATTTCTAGTGTGATTTCAAGTACTGTGGTTGCTTTCTTTGTTCTATTTTTCAAATACTTCGTTCTTCTTTCTGTTCTATTCAAACGAGTATTTATATTGCCACTTCCTTCAGATCCCAACAATATAAAATTGTGCAGTGATACCATTGACTAAGCAGTCATCCAATCAAGTTAAGGACGTGACAATTGAACATAGACTCCTTAAATAGAGATTTTGTGTAATGTCAACATGATTTCCTTTTTTGTTTAATTTTCCTAGTTTTTGCTAAGGGAATTTTATGATTATATGCATTGAAAAAACATGCAATTAATTTTACATCCAGAATCCTACAGTTGAGTATATGAATTCCATATGTAATCCAGTGCCTTGGGAAAAAGAAGAGTATTTGAAGCCAGTATTAGAAGATGACCTTTTACTTCAGTTTGGTAAGATGAATACATCCTTTGTGGAATATGTTTCAAATATTATACTGTACTTAAAGAAAAAGTAAACTCCAGCCCTAACCGGTTTGGCTCGATGGATAGAGCATCAGCCTGTGGACTGGAAGTTCCCAGGTTCAATTCCGGTCAAGGGCATGTACCTTGGTTGCGAGCACATCCCCAGTAGGGGGTGTGTAGGAGGCAGCTGATCGATGTTTCTAACTCTCTATCCCTCTCCCTTCCTCTCTGTAAAGAATCAATAAAAAAAAAATATCTACACTAATAAAAGAGAAACATGGTAATTGGCGTACGACCGCTACCCTTCCCATTGGCTAATCAGCATATCCTTATGCAAATTAACTGTCAGCCAAGATGGCGGCCGGCAGCCAGGCAGCTGGAAGCAA